CCTCTAACAACCAATCCTTTCATCACGTTAATATTACACCTCTGATGATGTCATGTTAACATTACATTTCTGACAATCAACTTATCAACTCTCTTCAACAGAGCAATAGGTCCATAATCTTTTCAAGTTAACATCACACCTCTGACGACCAAATCAACTTATCGGTTCTCTTCAATAGAGCGGTAGATCTACAATCTTGTCAAGTTAATATCACACCTCTGACGACCAAATCAACTTATCAAATCTCTTCAATAGAGTGATAGGTTCACAAACCCGTAAAGTTAACATCACAACTCTAATAACCAAATCAACTTATTGACTCTTTTCAATAGAACAATAGGCCCATAAAATACTGTTAGGTTAACATCACACTTCTAACAATCAAGCCCCCTAATGAACTTGTTAATCCTTTTTCAACAAGAATAGCAAGTTTTTATTATAAAATCCCCAGTGGATTAAAGATTTTCTAGAATTGTCCTAGTGATAATGAAGAAATTTTCTGAATTTCACTCTAAGTAAAAATTCATACCAAGTTAATACTACACCTCTAGCACTTCCAACTTTCTTTCAATGTTTCAAGTGAAAACATAACATAGAAAAAAAATAGTGGCAAAGCCTACATGTTCAATATCGTAGCAGGTTGTTATTAATAACATCAGAATCCATGTCTTACACGTATAGGGGACTTTATCTTGATCCCTAATTAGAGATAAGTATGCATCTAACACATGTTGTCGGGTGACCTATTCCCGCAATAATGACGAAGTCTACGTATTTAACATCGTAGCATCAAAAATCTATACATTTCACGCACGGGGGACTTTATCTCGATCCCTAATTAGAGATAAGCCTACGCTTAACATGCGTTACTGGGTAGTCCATTCCCGTAAAATTGACAAAGTCTATGTATTCGATATTATAGCACTAAGTCTAAGAGAGTTCATTCTTTTAGCACAACGTTACATGCGGAACGGACTTAGACAATCTATATGCTAGCCCGACTCAAACGATAGTCGGTAAAGGCTTATCAAATCCGTTAATAGCTGAGGGTTTAGCAAAAATTTTACAAATATTTGCGAGCACATCAGTTGAATGGATGTGAGCCGTGACGTGACGTTTAAGAGATTCTACTCATGAGCAGCTTGTACCGTCGCTACAGTTTCTAGTCGAAGCTCATCCTTACACAGGTCCTGCATGGCAAATCCCTTCAACCAAGATGTCTTTGAAGCGGATGCAGAGAACAACTCCTTTATGACAAGGAAACAACAGCTCCAATATTAGAGTTAAGATCTAAAATATTTTAAAAACTCATCCCAGTCAACCGCGAACATTCAATAACTTTGAAGGGGGTTCTGTAGGCTGTCTAAAAATTACTACAGATAGCTGATCCCTATCAAACACCGATAATAAAAGTTACAGTATGACGTCTTCTAGAAAACTACAATTTGAAAACTTTCACGTAAATCGATAAAAACTCTAATTTAACAGCCTTCATAATCAACATCGGGAGTTACAATCTGACAACTTTCTTATTTTTAAGGAGCCAAGACGAAGGTTACAAGATGACGATCTTTGCAACGCTCTAGCAAAAGAGACTACAAATTAATGGTCTCTTCAAATCAAAACGTAGATATCTCTCAAACCGTAAAGAATTTGGCAAAATAGACAGGAACAAACCGAACCCTTAGGGTGAGTTTGGTCGGCTCCGTTTCGTCGAGATAGTCGATTTTTATATATAATTTGTCCAATTCCGACTTACGGTTTGAAAGTTATAACATGTTCTTCGTAGTAAGTTATGTTCTAAAGCCCGTCTGTAAGACTGGACTTCGCCTAAACATTGGACTTAGTCTGAAGCTCGCCAAGCTCGCCTGAGGCTCGCCTCTGCGTTCCAGAGTCAAAACGCAAAGTTTATCTCTGTGTCCCAACAACAAAACATAGAGTTTGTGGCTGCGTTCCAGACTCAAAACGCAGAGTTTGTGGCTGCGTTCCAGACTCAAAACATAGAGTTCATCTCTGTGTCCCAACAACAAAACGTAGAGTTTGTGGCTACGTTCCAGATTCAAAACGCAGAGCCCAACTCTGCGTCCCAGGTTCAGAATGCAGAACTCGTGCCCAGAAGCAATTCTTACATTTGACCCGTTCAAACACGAGCTGAACGATTTTAAAACTGTTTCCCACGATTGAGGGGATTACTCCCCCACTTAGGATCGAATTAAAAGGGTGGTTACACCCCTTAATCCTCTATAAATGACGAAAAAATCAATTGAGTTCAGGATCTCCAATTGATCCTCTTTTCGGCAGCTAAAAAAAAGAACAGAGATTTTTGGAGCTTTCTTCCTTGGCTTGAAAATCGATTTCGGTTAGATCTTAATTAACTCTTTCATAGAGTTTTAAACTCGCACTAAGTTCCTAAACTCATTAAGAGTTATTCTTAAACTTGCCACACAAGTTCTCCTCAACCTCAAGTCAAGAGGATTCAACCGTGTTCCACGAGTTTAAGCGTTCAGATCGTCAACGGAAAGCAAATTCGATACGAACATCGAGGGAGGCATTCCATCGACACCAAGAAGAACCCAGGTTAAACAAAGGGAATGGTCTCCGTTGATCCCTTCTCTCTTTTGTAAACCGGGAATCCGATACAAGAAGATCATAATTTCTTTTTTCTAAGTCTGTTAGAGAGAAATTATATTGAGAGAATTATAATTATTTCTTTTTCTAAGTCTGTTAGAGAGAATAATACAAATTCAATTCTCCATTTTCTTCTTTAATTTTCCCACAAACAGTAACCCCTCATTAAATGTGCTTCCGATTCCTAGGAGATAATAATTTGAATTTTACTCATACCAAACAACCCGGGTTCAAGTGAAAGGGCTAACATCATATCACATAAATTTATCATATCACATAAATTGCTAAGTGTCAGCTACTCTTAAGAGGACGACACATGTCCCAATTAGCCTAAACACCAACCCGACTTGAGTCTCACGACTGTCGGCTCCCGCTCCTTAAAGCGCTTTGAGTCCCGATGCGAAAGGCATCCTCACTCGAACCTTCTCAAGGAATTGGAGATGAAAAGCGTCCTCATCTGAGCTTTCTCTTAAAGGCCCGAGATGAAAGGCGTCCTCACTCGGGCTCTCTCGAAGGATCGAGACGAAATGTGTTTCTACTCAGACTCGGCGACACATCTTAAACCATGGGGGAACCTATCTGCTTTGTCTTCTCAAGTGACGTTAGCTAGTCACCGTTTCATTAAATACATGGCCAGATCCATCATTACTTCTTCGTCGAAGTCAAAATGACTCATCAGATCATGCAAGCACCTTAATCATTCTGTCATCATCACATTAATGCAAGGATGACTCGGATCACCCATTGCCTACACATGTAAAGTATCAGCTAACTAAGACGTCTGCATGGACTCGACCGAAGTTATCCAAATACCCTTTTTGACTCACTATAAATATGCATATTGTCTTTTGCATGAGGGTAGAATGTTCTCTACGACATAAACATCATACAAACTATTTCTCTCATAAAAATTTCCCTTAAAATCATCGCTCACTTGATCGCCAGAGGAACCACTGGAGAACCCATCATCGACCCTCTAACGTTCCACGTTGAGGAGGAATACTCTTGTGCTCAAAGTGATCATCCATCGAATAAGATTGAGAGACCCTAAGCTCTTTCTAATCCATCCTAACCCTCGTAATTAAGTTTCTGACATAAATAACCTCCATTTTGTTGTGTTGCAAATTCATTTCATATGTGTGTTACCCTGTCAATTTCCATCTCCTATCAACCTAAAACATTGACCTTGCAATGTAGCTCCACAATAGAACTACATACGTGAAAACAATAAATTTCAAATAGATTTTATGCTGTACACGATTCACACATTATTTGTATCTGCAATGCATGCTTCGCTTATTTCTTGAATTTTGAAATTAGTCCTTCACATCATTTTATTTTTTTCTTAGAACTATTAATTCTTGGCTAATCTCTGTATTACTTTCTCTAATCATTGAAATTACTATCGGGCCCGTCAATTGTCGTAAGTTTTTCTTTTTTCAAATTAATCTCTTCCTCCAATTACTACCCCTACTCCTGATTGGATGGACCAATTTTAAAATAATTTAAGAATTAGGAGACCCGACACCAATTTCCAGGATTTGAGGGACTAATTTTAGGATAAATTAAGAATTGAGGTGCATGATTAAGATTTGAGTGACTAATTCCGAGACACGAAAATTTTAAGGGACTGATGTGAGAGAGAGAAGACCCGCCCTGAGCACGCGTTATTCTGGGTTTCTAGTTCTTTTCCCCCCGGGGAGCTCCACCGCACCGGTTCGACTCAGACCGAGTGCCTTTTATTCCCCCATCCCTCGAGACCATGAAGCGGCCGCGGCCCGCTCCCTCGCGCTGCGCACCGCCGCCTCCCCGCCACCCCGCGCGCTCGGCCCCGTCGCCTCTCCGCCTCACAAATCCAACCAGAACCCCAACCTCACCTCGGACCCAACGGCAAACACTTCGCCTGCACCCTCGTCCTCGTTCGATGACCTCGTCCTCCGCCGTCTCCGTCCGTCCTCCTCTCCTCCCAATCCCCAGCCTCCCCTCCCCTCTCCCGGCTCCCTCTCCCTTACCTCCCCTCCCTCTCCCCCTCACCATCTCCCCGCGGATCCTCGCCCTCGCCTCTCCTCCCCCTCCCTCTCCGACCCCACCCCTCCTCACCTTCTTCAACCTCTCCCCCCTCCCTCTCCTCACCCTCCCTCCTCCTCCCCTCCTCCTCCCCCTCCTCCGCTCCCTCCTCCGCCTCAACCGCTTCTCCTCCGCAAGGCCCTCATCCTCTCCTTCCTCCCCCTCGACCGCCAGCACCACCACCCTCCTCCACCACCTCGTCCGCCGGCCCCTCACCCACCCTCTCCCTTCCAAAGCCCTCCTCGACACCGCCGCTCTCCGCCTACGCCAATCCGACCACCCCCCCTCGCGAGGCAGCATCTTATCAGTCCATGCGCCGCCGCCGCCGCCTCCTCCCTACCCTTTTCACCTGCAACGCCCTCCTCTCTTCCCTCGTCCGCTCCCCGTCCCCTCCCTCCGTCCCTGTCGCCATCTTTCGCCAGATGCTCGGCCTCGGCCTCTCCCCCTCCGTCACCACTTTCAACATATTGATCCACGGACTGTGCAAAAGATTCGATTTTGACGGCGCCCGTGAAATGATGAAGTCGATGGATGGGTTCGCCTGCTCGCCCAATACCATCACCTACAACACTGTCTTGAGCGCCTACTGTAAGAAAGGGATGCTGAAGGAGGCGAGGGACTTGCTTTCGGACATGAAGGAGAAGGGGCTGGAGGCGAGTGGGACCACTTATAATACGCTGATCGGGGCTTATTGTAGACTCGGATGGCTTAAGGAGGCCACGATGACCGTGGAGGTGATGACTGCCTCTAGGTGTTTGCCGGACTTGTGCACATATAACATGCTTGTATCGGGGTTTTGTAAGGAGGGGAGGGTTGATGAGGGGTTTAGGATGAAAGAGGAGATGGAGAGGATGAAGGTGGCGCCAGATGTTGTGACTTATAACACTTTAATTAATGGGTGTTTTCAGTGGAGGAGCGGGGAGGAGGCTTTCAGGGTTTTGGATGAGATGAGAAAGAAAGGATTGAGGCCGGGGATTATCACGCATAATATTATAGTGAGCGGGTTGTGTAAAGAAGGGAAGATGGATGTGGCTGTTGGGAGATTGAAGATGATGGAGGAGGAGGGTGTGGTTCCTGATGTTGTTACTTATAATACTTTGATTAGTGGGTTCTGTAAGGTTGGGAATATGGAGAAAGCTTTCAAATTGATGGATGAAATGGTTGGAAACTTGCTTAAGATGGATACGTTCACGCTTAATACCGTCCTTCACAGTCTGTGTAAAGTGAAGAGGTTTGGTGAAGCACTTGAGCTTCTTGGTAGCCCTCCAAAGAGGGGATTTTGCCCTGATGAGGTCAGTTATTGTACAGTGATCAGTGCTTTCTTTAAGGATGAAAGGCCAAAAGAGGCCATGGATCTTTGGAAGGAGATGCACAGTAGAAAGATAATGCCGAGTGTGTCGACCTATAATGCAGTGATTAATGGTTTGTGTAGGTCGGGCAGGACTGAGGAGGCTTTAGACAAGTTGAATGAGCTTTTGCAAAGAGGTCTTGTGCCGGATGAGACTACATATAACACACTCATTCATGCTTATTGTAAAGAAGGGGATTTGGAGAAGGCATTCCAGTTTCATAATAAAATGGTGGAGAATTCGTTTAAGCCGAATGTTGTTACTTGTAATATACTAATGCATGGGCTGTGTAGTAATGGCAAAGTGGAAAAGGCAGTGAAGCTCTTCGATTCATGGGTGGCCAAAGGGAAGAAGGTTGATGTTATATCATACAATACTCTAATACAAGGTCTTTGCAAAGAAGGGAAGATTGATGAAGCCTTGGAGCTATTTGCTGGCATGAAAGAGAAGGGATTGGATCCTGATGCTTGTACTTATAATTCAGTTCTATGTGCGCTTTCAGAGGCAGGAAGATCGGAGGAGGCAGAAAAAATGTTGTCAGGATGGGCTGAATCTGGACACTTGTCAGAAAAATTCATTCTTCTTTCATCAGATCAAGCTCTTCCTATTATGGAGGCAGAGAAGAAGCAAGAGAGGTCGAATGGGGATGGAAATCAAGAGGAAGAACAACGTACAAGTAGCCATACTGAGCATATTAATGAGCTATGTGCAAATGGGAAATTCAAAGAAGCTAAACAAGCTATGGAAGAAATGATGCAGAAGGGCATGCCTGTTGATAGTTCTACCTATATCACTTTGATGGATGGCTTTATTAAGAGGCAGAAAAGATTGACAAAAGGTGATAATTAAGTCATCTTATCGAAGCGTACTTCCTTCTATAATGGTACTAGGTGGAGTTATAAAAGCTTGTGCCTTGAGGTATGCTGACATAACCCATCTTGCCAGAATGTTAATTTTACTCGTGCCTTTCATTTTCCATTAAATACTATGAATGAAGTGAACAATCTCTTTTATACATTTGACATGAACACTTTGTAGTTTGTTTTAATCATTATCATATGGTAAATTTTATGTTGTTGTATTGCCGTTATAGAGAGGATGGCTATTTATGCTGCTTCTCTCACTTGAATTTTTATTTTTATTTTTTTCGAAATGCAATATATTATTAAGCACTGTTATAAATAGCGGTAAATAGCTCCGCAATAGCGGTGCTAATAGCGTTAGCGGTCCCTTCCCGCGACGCTATCGCCCGCTACGCAATCACGCAATAGCGGTCTATGAAGCACAGACACGCATAACATGAAGTCGTGTCGTGTCGTGTCCGTGTCGGACACACGTGTCGAACACACGTATCCTATGTATTTTTTAGGATTTGCCTCGTGTCGGCGTGTCAGATCCGTGTCCGTGCTACATAGATAGCGGTGACATATTGTGAAATATATCTGTTCGCAAAAGCGGCCAATAGTGTGTCATAATGGTAAATAGTGAACGATTGCATTCGAAATTTGTTTTTTGACAGCTATTTAAAAGCGGTTTGAGGTTTTTTTTAAATTAAACTCAACCCTTGACCATTATATTCCACTGTCTCCTGTGATTTTCAGCATATTTCCGCCACCTCTTATAGCCTCTGGCACCTACCTTGATACTTCCTCTCACCTCATTCATCGTGAGCTCCTCTTAGGGTAGTCTTGTCACCGCTAAACTCTTCTTTTCGAAGACGACGACTTTTTGACTCCTCTAATCATCTTCGGTATTACGTGATGGTTACATATCTATTTTATATTTAGGATCTCTTTAAATCATCCAATATGTACTTTTAGATTTCTTAGATTTTTGTTTATTTTTTTTTAGTATTTATACATATCTATATTAGACCGCTATTTGATTTTGCGCTTTTTACTGCTATTTTGCCGTAATAGCCCGAAATAGCCTTAGCGATGCCTCACCGCTATGCGACACTATCCGCTATCGATAACCTTGTTATTAGGTGACCGAGCTGCTTTGGTTATTGTGTGGTCAGGGTGACTAGAACTTTATGCTTTTGAGTCGAAATGTTGTATCTTTAAAATATAAGACGATAACATATAGACGCATGAACTGCTGCACCAACATCTTTAAAATCTGCTTCTCACTAAGAGTGTCGCTAATGATACAGCTCTTTCCCCTCTTCCGTGCACTGTGCTCTAACTTCAGTTGCCTTGCCTAAGCCTTAAGAATTTTTACTAGAATCTTTGGAATATATTTAACACTAAGTACTTGACTTCTTTAAACAAACAAGGCTTCACAACTGCTGGAATCCTACATTTAGGCATCATCCATGTTTTAACTGCAAACCATCTTCTCATATAAAGGTTTTCCTGCTTTGATTAAACTCTTAATCGGGGAAAGAAATGGCAAAAACGCATCCGGAGCATATCTGTGGAAGGATTTGTTCATAACATTCAATTCGAAGAAAGCATGTGGTTGTTATTAAAACAATTCTGTGAGCTCTTGTCTTCCTTTTTTCCCCTCTCCTTTCTGGAGGAAGAAGATGACGCATGCAAGTTTGAGAAGTTTTCTGGTGTCTGATTGGATTGTTTTAAAGATGTCTTTGGTATGAAGTTAAGCTCAATATCTTTTTGCTGAATTATGCATGTGGAGGGGGACAAATCCATTCAGAAGAGTCATCTCAACCTGTTCTGTAGAAAAACTCTACACTTTCCAAAACAGAACCATCAATTATTTGGTCTCTTTGTGATATTATATTCTTTTAAAATTTGTTATTGGAGATTATTTCAAAGATAACTTTGGTGTGAAGTTAAAAATAATATCTTTTTGCTGAATTATGTATGTGGCAAGGGACAATCTCCGTTCACAAGAGTCCATCCAACCCATACTGCAGGAAAACAATGCACATTCCAAACTAAAACCAGCTTCACTTATTTTGGCATATTTAGGATGTTATATTCTCTTAATGTTCTTAAAAGAATTTACTTCGAAATAAAGAATCTATTTCCCTTTGACTAATATTTTTTCCACACTACAAAGTACTCTCCCCAACTCTGAGAATTCTCTAGTAAATAAAAAAAAACAATGTTATTTAAGAAAAGGCATGTTGTTGGTTCTATTTGCTTTTTCTGAAGGAAATTAAGAACCAAAATCATATTAAGAATTGATTTCTTCAGTTCATATTCAGATGCCAAACTGGAGGGTGGTGTCTTGCTGAGACCCCGACTCGACCACCAAGCTCTGCAATAGTGATGAATCTGTAGCGGCGTGGCTTAACCTTACTTCGTAGTCCCCGTGGAAGAGCTGGGCTTCCAAAAGGCCATTAGCATCGGTTGTTCCAACTACACGTCCTGACCTCCACTCTGCAATCAGTTTGTCAACAACGTCTCCTGTGGGGAGATTCTTGAAGTTGTTGTCAGTTAAGCACATTCTATAGCACCCTTCTGGCTTCCATCCTGTCCACATTACGATCCCTTGCACCGCTGGGTGCGAGTATGCTTCTCTTAAGATTTGTTCCAAAGCTACTGCCTGGAGCCATTACACAATTTGGTTAAGAATGACTAATTTTTCTTTTATTAATTCTTTCACAATCTAAGCTTTTGGTCAAAGTTGTCTTTATCGTAGTATCAAAGTATCAGACTTTCAAGATCATCAATCATGTGATCTGATGCTCAGTATTTAAAAAAAATCAAAGTCGACTGATTCAACTTAAATTTCAATTATATTAATTTTACTAGTTTATATAGGCTGACTTTGTCTTTGTTCTGCCACGTGTGGGAAGTTCATGAATATTACAAATACACAATGAAAGTATTTGAAGAAATTAGGTGTCAAAGCAAAGTGAATACCTGATTTGCATCGTTGGAAACATCCACCTCTGTAAGCCAAATTGGCACTTTGGCATTGGCAAGAGTATCCAGAGCCGACCTCATGTAAGGAATATTGGGCCAACCAAAGTGGCCCTCGAGCCCAATTGCCATCTTCGCTTTGTTCCCAGGGAAGGACCACATCTCATTCAGCTTCTGAAGGTACTTAGCAGGTGTTGACATCACATCACCAGGCACCTCAAGAGTGTTGAAGTCATTTAAGAACATGAGCGTGTTGGGATCAAGCTGGCTTGCTTTTTGATAGAAACTGCCTGATGCACCCTTACCCATCCTGTCCTCAAAGAAAGAAAAGTGGAGGTTCTCATTGACAACATCCCAAGCAATGACCTGGCCTCTGTACCTTGAGACAACTGAGTTGATCCTTTTGTTGGTTGCAAACTCAAGCTGGGGTTCGGAGAGTGCTTTTATCCAAGTCTGGATATATTGGGGATCATCCCATACGATATTGTGGCCTCTGACGCGAATGCCGTGCTGCTTGGCAAAGGCAATCATAGCATCACAGACATGGTAGTCCTCCTTCCCTTGAAAATTTTCCGTACTGTACCATTTCATTTCATTTCCAAATGTAGTGACGGTAAACCGGGAGGTGAACCAGTTTTGATAAGCTGTATTACTAAGGATGATGCTGTCCATTGATGAGCCGAATGGGAAACCAGGCCTCTTTTGGTTGAGGACAATTGTTGCGTTGGGGATTGCATTGCCACGGGAATCCACTACACGGAATCTCATCAGCTGTGTTCTCACCTGAATCGAAGCGCTCAGGTTAGTGTCTAGTTTTTTAGTTTAATTGGTTATTGGTTATTGATTGATTTTATGTTAAAGTAAAAGTAGAACCGTGATGAACTTGAGCTCCATGTACAGAAAATCCTAAGTTATTTATGATCGCCATGGCTTTTTATAGGTTTAAGTAGTTCACGAGGAAGCTGTAAAGGCTCAAAAGAAGATCATATCTTATATCTTCAGCAAGTTATTCACTGAAAAATCTAAGACTTAATAGGTACTGTTTATGTATATAATTTGATGTTGCCCGGGTGGTGCACAGGATTAAATTAATATCTTGTGTGCGTGTCTCTCTCTCTCTCTCTATATATATATATATATATATATATATATATATATATATATATATATATATATATATGCAGAAATATGGGTATGCTTGGTACCAAGCATAAATTTTGTGCTTGGTAGTGATGTGTTACATCCCCATCCACTCATTACCATGTGAATGTGGTCTCTACATTTGAATGAGTGAAGGGAGATGTGACACCTCACTACCAAGCCAACTTTTTTGTGCTTGGTACCAAGCATACCCATATTTTCTCTCTCTCTCTCTCTCTCTATATATATATCATATATATTATATATATATATATATATATATATTATATATATATATATATATATATATATATAAGAGAGAGAGAGTAGAATTTTGTCAACTTAAGTGGACACTAAGTCTTTGTCCACCAAAGTTTCTATCCACTCATTTATATATATAAAAAGTCACTTCATATCATGCAGGGATCCCTAGGCAACATGAGTGGATAGAAACTTGGTGCGCACCATCCACTTAAGTTGACATAAGTTTTCTCTCTCTCTCTCTCTCTTCTCTCTCTCTCTCTAGCTCTATATATATATATATATATATATATATATATATATATATATATATATATATATATATATAGTATTATATATATAGGTTTGGGTAAAGAGAAAGGCTAAAAATAAGATATTTTGGAAAGAGATGACAAAATGTCTAATTTATAGGAAATTGAAAGACAAATAATTTCTAAGATGTGAAGAGTAGTGGATTATGATGATGTGGTGAAAATGAAAAAGATTTTTAGTTCGAGATTATTAGTTCTTGAATGTTAGAGCCCTTAGAATTTGCCAAGTAACAAAAATATGCAACCAGGTTTTTAATTTATTAGTATGGTATTAATGGTATTGGTACCTTTTGAATGCTTTCAGATTGATGAGATCTCCATTCATCTTCTGTGAACGGTTGCAATGAAACACTGTCCACCCAGATATCCACATTTGTGTTTTGGCTCTGTAGAAAGAATGACAATGTGAAAATTGATGGCAACAAGAACCTTGGAAAACTGTGCAAAGAAGAAAACTTAGGCAAGCTCGTTCTTCCTTGGGCGCCACATTATTATCAAAAAAGAAAAGAAAAAAAGTGAGGCTGCCGTATTATCAAGTGTTCATAAAATGGAACTGGTAAATATGTTTTTCAAGTGTGCTTTTATCCTTCCAGAATTGAGACGTTTATCTTAACTTTGGCAATCCTTACAATTAGCAATATAAAGAGTTGTTTGAGAAGTAAAAAGAGTACATATTTGTTTTATATTGTTGTTGTTTAATCATTATCTATTTTTGCGCTGATTATATGTGATCTTTTTTTTTTTTTGCAAAGATGAAGATGCGTTGTTGCATTTGTGTTTAAGTTTATAGGGGTTTCACAAATTGTCTATTAAATATGTTAGTTTGTCTACTTAAGTTAAAAGTCTTAATATCTGTGGCGTAGTTAATTATTATGCATCATTTAGCCTTGCGAGTTAGAACTCAGTTATCAGCTATTAAATGAATTAGTCTAATTTAGTGATGGAGGATCAAGAACATACTCGTGTCTTAGCATGTAACTGCTTGTCTAGTGGCTCAAGCATAAGGTAAAATTGGCGATGACTGCTGAGTGAAAGTTGAATATGAAGACCTGGGTGCCCTACATCTATTGTTTCTATGCTACTCTAAATTTAGAAAGCACAAACAACCCCATCATTTCTTCCCTATATCCATAAATGCCTTTGTGTCAGTACTTTTATAGCATTCACCTTTTGTTTCATAGTAGTATCTTCCTGTTATAGTCAGAATTTGTGAATGTATATCTATCAATTATCACCTCGAAGTAGAGCTCAGCAGGACCCGAGGCCTCGACAGAGAGGCCTCCTTTAAGCATAGACCAGCATCCAGACTTGGCTTCCACAGCACCTGCATGGATGAAATCTTCTCCAGTCTTGAATACAGCCCTCACATCACCTTGCCCTTCACTAGCCTGCACCCAAGCTACAAACAAGAATATAGCAAATTCAGCATCCATTCATAGACTTAGCTAAATAAATTAGGAGTAGAATTTGCAGAATTACCAGAGAAGGTGTAGAACATCCTCTTTTGAAGGTAAAGCTTCTGAGAAATACTTTGATGGGGGTGCTTTCTATGAGTAGCAATGGCAAAGTAGTTCATGGTTTCAGATTTCGTTGTCGATATATTTGCATATCCGAAGGTAGACCAACCTTTGAGGCTTTGGTTAAATTCTGGATTGCGTATGATGCCTCCTCCATATTGAGGCTTGAGGGGATCGATCAAGCACTGCAATTAGATGAAATGAGTGTTGTTGCAACCATTTGCCCAATGGTCTTCAAGTTTCGTTAATTTGAAATAGAAGGATATTTAAATTTTGTGAACTTGATTCATTTTCTTTGTTCCTTACGCATATTGTCTCCTGGATCTACTGAACTTATCAAGTTTTGCTGTAAAGATGCTTTGTTCTTTTTTCCATTTATATTAGAAATTTTGATTTTGTGCAAATACTAGGGGGATCCAATAAGGGGCTGTTTGTTTTGCTTCTTTTGCTCCTGATTCCCTGCCAAAACTGACAACTTGCTGTCAGTTTCGGCAGCTTTCTTGCCAAAACGTCCATAAAAAGTGAGTTTTGACAAGAAAGCTGTCAAAACTGACAACAAGCTGCCAAAACTGACAACAAGTTATCATTTTTGGCAGGGAATCAGGAGCAAAAGAAACCAACCAAACAGCCCCTAATGGGGAATGTATAACTATAATAAGCTTCTTCAAGATTCTACTATTTGTTATTCAATCTTAAATGTAAATCCTAAATGGTTTTTTGATATTATGTAATGCCCAAATCTAACCAAATTTGCAAATTTACCCTCCACATCTAAGTATTTGCTAACTTATCCATCCATTCTCCCATATTGGATGAACCCCTCCAATTTTAACCCTATCATATTTGAAATGGAAAGTAAAATTAGAACATACTTCCACCTCTCAAGATAAAAGAAGAAAAAGGATGGGTGGCGTCGCTTCTTCGCCCTCGCCACCCCTCTTCGCCCTCGCCACCCCCCTCCCCCCTGCGTCCACCAAGATCCAACTGTACTCCCTAGACCCACCTCCTCCCGACGTCGAACCCCCTGACGCGGCTACATCCCATCTCTTGCTAGTGGTAATGAATCATCGGTAGCTGTCCGCTCTCTCTCCCTCTCTGTCACCTAGATCAAATCCTAGACCCACATCCTCTATAATTAAGACCCCATTTCTAACAGATGTAAAAAATGAACATGGTTTTTTAAGTGAGGTGGGGGTACGAGGACTAAGTTGATAAAAAAAGAAAGCGAGGCAATCAATTTGAATATGAAGCCATAGTAACCAAAGTTAATCTTTAGCCGATTGAAAAATGATCGGAACATAGAAATTTTTTTTTATCATTCATATACTAGTTAGAAAAACCTACCTCAATGCTTGACGAATGGTCGTATTGTAGAGAGTTGACGACATTCCCTGACGATAGAATAAACAAACACAGAAATATTAGTACAAATCTTTTTGATTATCAGAATAACGTGCTTGAACAATAAGGGGAGATATTATTATTGTTTTTCATAAATAGTAGAAGTCTGTTTTAAATTTTAGAAAGTTCACACACATGATGAGACTGAGACTGACAAGTAAATGATTTTTGTTAAGGTTATATAATTTTCAAAGGTAAACGTTAAGAAAATACCTGCACAAAGTACAACGATTAGCACTAATAGCAACACATGTTGCGTGAAGTGCTCCATGTTTTTGTGAGTTATCTTCTCTGAGGTTTTGTTCTCAGAAATAAGCTCTTGAATATTTAGAGAATAAGAGCACAAAGAATAATATGAATAATAAACGTATTTTTTTAATAAAACATTGAAAAAAAAAGTGTTGATGAGAGTGGTAAGTGTTGATCGGAGAAGAGCATATATGGCCAAATCTTGTCAATGAATTATTTATTTCTAGTACATTTCAAAGAATGGAAAATCTTTTACTTTCCTAATGAATTTAATATACTCGTAACTCTGGAAATTTACCAGGCTTGCATTGAACATACTTACTATGTTTGAGAGGATAATACATGCACCAAACTCCAGACATAATCAGATTCATCTTTGCTTGATTTACTTGCCAATTTAATAATTTGTGCACTTTATATTGTACCAAATATTTTCTTTCCTGGAGTGCAAAAAGTCCAGATTCATTATTCATTAATTAACGTGAGTTTATTTATTTGTTATTTTTGGAAATGTTTATCATTTAATCATAACAAGATTAAAAAGGAAAATAATTACAAATTTAATCTTTAGGTGAAAACCCATGGCCTTCTGTAGTAGATACTACAAGAGAATTAACTTGAATGGATATTTAAACGGGTGCATAATACAGTTAACAATGATATCATATATTCGTGTTTGTTCTATTCTTATGGATGTACAAATACAAATAATAATAAAGTTCTTGCTAGGATATTTATATTATTGTCTGTATTCTATCAAAATAAATATGAAATCAGTGTTAATCCATATTATTGTCAGATATTATTAAATAGCTGGTTGTCACTAAGCATTTGCAAGGAAACAATGAGTTTAATATTCAACATTGACATATATGCCGACACCTTCTTCCTATTATCTTGTAGAATATTGAATGTTAAGTTATGAAGTTGCTTTGGGTCATTGTGCGCTGAGAGTTTGGGTGAAAAATCTTTAAGCCTTTGCGTTAGGTCATCATATCTTTAAAATGTGAACAGGGTAACTACTGTGAAACGGGACAGGGGGTCTATCAGAATCAGCGGTTTAATTTGGCAGGAATTAAATTCAAAACAACTAATGTGACAGATGGATTTAACAAAGTTTGCATCAATACTTATGAATAATTCTCATTTCAATCAATTTAATTACAATATTCATTATCATGCACAAGTTCTACAATCAATATCGAATTTTAACAGTCACATGCTCAATTACTCTCAACTCACAAATATAATCTAAGCAGTGAATATATGATAAGAGTTTAGAGATGGAATACTCATGCAATGAACTAATAAAAAGAGATTAACATAAAAATAGAGAGAAAACGAAACATTCGTCGGCCTGAATATGGTCGACGTGAGGGACCTCTGGAGGTGGTGCGAAGACGTCGAACTAGATGACGATGTGGCGGCGAACTGAGCGACGATAACGATGACGACTGAGCGATGACAGCGGCAGCGAACTGAGCGACGACAACGACGACGAATCTGAGCGACGATGAGGGTGACAGGTCAATGTGTAAACTGGTGACGTGAGTGACGAGAGAATGTGGTCGGCGAATGGACGCGGGCGAGACGACAATGGCGGCTGTTTGAGGTGGATCTGGCGGTTTATGGAGGAGGAAAGGGTGGCTGCTCGAGGTGGAAGAGAGCAGGAGTAAGTTCGTCGAGATTGTTCGAAGTGGGGGGTGATTGGTGGGGCTGCTCGAAGTGGAAGGGAGCAGGGGAGGAGGCGACGTCGGAGGCTGCTGAAGGCGGAGAAGAACATGTGAGTTGTTTAGGAAAACGAATAAGAAACAGGGGAGGGTGGTGACTGTTTGTGGAAGAGGATCCAGGGGAGTCGGCCTAGGGTTTCACACTCGAGGCTTCACACCAATAATGAGTTAACAAAATTTTTCAATGATTCAAATCATCTTTCTAAAAATCTAATTACAACGGTCTTTTAAAGAGAAAAAATTACATATTTTGAAAACCCCTCTAATCACTCAAATTGTCACAACTTAACTCTACTACCAAATTTGACCCAAAAATTTAAAAATCAAAATTAAAATCCTACCAAAATAAAAAATCCCTCAAATCTCTCACAATTAAAACTAAATTAAGATCTGGTCAAACTTGCCAAACATTCCTTACTCAAAACTAAAATAAAAGAAAGTCAAATAATAAATATGAAAAATTGTCATTATTGTCCTCATCATTCTCCCTGGGTGGAAGAAAACTCGACTTTGTCGAGTTAGTTGCAAAAATTTGTTATCTTCAATATACTCTGCCTGCATCTTAATCTGCCGTCAGTTACTTTCCTGCATCTCAAATCATTAGCTAGATTGCAACGTAAATTCACCATCTAAAATATTATCAAAATTCACTGCTACATGGGTGAATATATAGAAGTGAGGTAAAGTGAAAGAACTCTCATAAACAATAGGCTAGGGTCAGGCTTATATCAGTGGACTGTCAATAGACATTATGACTGCTTAATCAATCAATATTGAGAATAGAACTATGACTAAAGCGATAATATAAATGTTATCATTAATTATTTCAAGAGTTGAAAAAGTTCATAAATATCATGTCAAATCTCAAACAACTATAAAAGAAACTATATTGGACAAGTCCAAACCATCTCAAACATTAACAATTTTAAATTATGTCCTGACTCCATATCATACGTTTCAATTAACAATGTATTTATTCAAATTAGATCAATGATTCCCTAATATATGATCAATGCAAATCAAAACAAAATGATACAAATCAACTCAAATGACTATGTATGACATGCAGACTCGACAATACAATCAATGGCAGATGTAAACTCAACGACGTGTCTAGCATGCATGACGTCCTCTATCAAATGGAATAATTAAGCGTTCCTTCGTTAATATGCATAACAAATTTCCTGTTCTAACAGTGATAGTGAGGAACATGCAAACAAATACAGGAAAGAGGAGTGTTTTTGTGCGCTTAATATAAGAGAGAAAGAAAATACTCTGCAAGGTATGTGGTTCATTTAAAATGTCAAGCTTAGATTGAATATCAATGAAAACATCCGTGCTCAAACTTGTATCCCTAATCACTATATATTCCCAAAATGGATCAGTGTATGTGTGAGTGACTATCGAGACAATGCATGGTGGTTTGATATCTAATATGGGAGTTATTTCACTATGCTCGGTTTGTGATTCAACTTCCATACAGATATTTGAGTGAACGTGTTGTGTGTAATGTATAGATTCATGTTTGTCCGGGAGGACTTCGTGGGGAACATCAACAATGTTTTCAATCACTAGAGTGAGTTCAGGAGGAGTTGGAGTTTTAATTTTAGGACAACTTCAGAGGCAACATTAGTGAACTCTGTAATCAAATGAGTAGTTAGGGGAATAATCGGAGTGTCGTTATTGCATGAAACTTCAGTCAATTCCATAATTGCAAGGGTAGTTTCAAAGAATCGAAAGTGCATGGTTTTTCAATTTTCCTATCTCAGATTTTCTTGTCAGAGTTAGATTCTGTCAAATTTACGGCTTGGCTAACGGTTTCCTCAAGAATAGATTTTGATTTCGTTATAGGCGGCTTATTAATTTTAACTAGAGGGAGATATTTCCTTTTTATCTCATCGGTCATTTCTCACCAAGTTAAAATTGGTAACTCACCTCTAATATACTTTAACATTTTGAGCTTGGACCAATATTGGCAGGCTGGTCCGGTAAACTTCATTACTGCAAACTTGACTTTTCGGAATTCCGTCAGGGCGTACCCGTTAAAATAGCGATCCATATTCTTTAACCAATCCAAGAAAGCTTATGGATCGAGCTTACCATTAAAGGTTGGTGCTTCGATCTTAATGCTCCTCAGGTATTGAGCATCTGGATCAGGCACGGGTTGAGGTGGGGGTCGATGAACGATGTGTCCATAACCTTGATCTTGTAGAGGCGGAGTTGTAGCGTGCGCTTCGTCAAGCTTAGCGAGCCTCTCGTTGGCTACGTTTTGGAAGTCTGTCAGGGCCTCGTAGGTAGCTCTATATTCCTGGGCTATAGCACCTAGCTATCCTACTAGCTCATCGAATTTCTTAAGGATTGTATTGCCTGACATGCTGGACTCACTAGACGATTCACTAGACTCTCCTAATCGATAGGGTAGACCTGTGCGAGTGGGCATACACTAACAACTAAATGAGATGAATGGTATGCACTATCAACTAAATGAGATGAATGATAATATTTTTATAACAAATAAAGGACTCAATTAAACTAATCTAGAAATTTCCTAACCTAGAACCACGCTCGGATACCAAAAATGATGTGAAACGGGACAGGGGGTCTATCAGAAACAGTGATTTAATTCAAATAACACATCGTTTGACCAAATTTCATGCTCTTTGGCAGTAATTAAATTCAAAATAACTAATATGACAGATGGATTTAACAAATTTTGCATCAATAATTATGAATAATTCCTATCTCAATCAATTAATTGCAATATTCATTATCACACACAAGTTCTACAATCAATATCAAATTTTAACAGTCACATGCTCAATTACTCTCAACTAACAAATATAATCTAAGCAGTGAATATATGATAAGAGTTTAGAGATGGAATACTCATGCAATGAACTAAGAAAATGAGATTAACAGAAAAATAGAGAGAAAACGAAACCTTCGTCGGCCTGAATAGGCTCGACGTGAGGGACCTCTAGAGGTGGTACGATGACGTCGAACTGGATGACGATGTGGCGGCAAACTGAGCGACGATAATAGGGACGACTGA